TTCCAGAACCAGAACCAAACAAACCAAAATCTGGAATGAACTTCCAAAAAACAGAAAAATAGCTGAAACACAGAGTTCCTCCACGGCTAAAGCAGCTGGGTGGAGTTGATCTGATTATTGATTATAAATAAAAATTGATCAGATGATGAGATGTGGAATGTTTATTGTTTCGTAACTAATGCAGCGTTTTCATGACGTAACATTTTGAGCTACTGAACAGAACCAGAACAGAACCAGAACTCGGGATTTTCCCTGCCAGCAGCCAAACCGTCTTTATTCCTTTAAACGGATCCTGACCTGCTTCTCTCTGGTCCAGAACCAGTTTCAGCTTTTTCTCTAGTAAACGCCTGACCTTTGACCTGTGAGTCACTCATGAATAAAAGCTCTGTGATTGGATGACTAAACCTCAGTGTGGGACAGAAACGCTGATAAATCAGGAGAAAGAAACTTTGTGTTTTCAGGAATTTAAAAGTCGCAGAAAAGCTGAACTGAGTCAGAGAGAAACGGAGCGGCGCTGCTCTCTGATCCGATGAACCACAAACCCAACGGCTGCAGCATGTGTGCTGCAGATGCTGCAGGATGAAGGTCAGGAGGAGGAGGCTGACATGTGGAGCGCGTTAGTCCGTCTGACACCGGGCAGATGTGCTGCAGAGCAAGCAGCCAATCAGAGCCGGGATCATAAATTATCAACAGAGACACAAAACTATTTTTACTGCTCTGTTTTTAAACTGCAGCTGCATCAAAACATGGGAACCATGGAAACCGCCGTCTCTATGAACACAAAACCTGAAAACCTGACGGCTATTCATGAAGCTGCAGCTGATTAACGTCTGAAAACAGAAACAGTTTAACTTTCATCTTCTGTGACCATCAGCTGCTTTCAGTCAGACCAACCGGGGGTCCGTGACTCAAACCTGGCCCAGTAAAACCAGTAAGACCAGCAGTTTGGGAGCGTCTTCCTGTGCTGAGTCAGGGTGTGGCAGCAGCAGCAGCTGCTGTGGAAACTTGTTCCTGATCATCCTCAGAGTTTTTCCTGCTACTCGTTAAGGATCAGCGCCGCAGCAGAACCATCGAGCTTCAAGCCTCTGCTGGTTTTACCGTCTGCAGCAGAACTTCTTCCTCTTCACCTCTTGGCCTGACGCTCAACCCAAAGTACAGCTTTCAGTGCTAAACGCTCGCTGCCGCGTCTTTTATGGGCTATAAACCAGAAACGTCTCAGAGCTGTAATTATCACAACCATCCTCAGTTCACATGGAGCTGAAGCTCTGCAGCAGGACTCACCCTGAGCCGAAGCACAGCCGCTCCACCGGACCGGACCGGGCCGCTTCGTGAAGAACAGAGACCAGAGTTATGAGAAACGGCAGCAGGATGGACCTGTGGTCATTATCCTCCTGGTGAAATCCTGCGGCTTCCTGCTGATGAAGATGCAGACAGACGGACTGAGTGGAGGCAGCAGCGTCCCGCTCTGCAGCCAGAGGAGGAGTGGGGCAGAGTCTGCGGCTGGACGGGACAAACTTCAACAGCCTGGAGGTTTGCCATCCTGCTCCTCTCCTCCCACTTTCTCTGCAGAAACAGGAAAAATGTGAAGAGGAGGGAGAGCGGGGTAAATGAAACCAGACACATCTCCCTGTTTGGTGAAGATCTGAGCAGCGCAGGGAGAGGTCAGGGAGCCACATTTTACTCTTCATTCATCTCAACCTCCAGGATTCTCATTTTAACACGATGCCCACTCATTAAAGCAGGAAGTTTGGTAAAGCAGAACCAGAACCCGATGAGCCAGTCATGCTGGAGAAGAAACCAGAGGAAAAGTTACAGAGAACCAACCAGTCAAAAAACTGCTGCAGCCTGAAAACTTTACAGGAATCACTTTTCGCCCGACGTTAAAGTTTGTATTTTATTTGAATCAGGATTTGATCAGGGTTGCTTTGAAAAAGTCATAAAGAGATTAAAACATCCCTGGTGACAGTAGTGGGCAACACTAACTAAACAGCTAGCTACGCTAACGTCATAAACTCTAGACCCGCTAATGCTAACGCATTAACTTCAATTCTATCAAAAACTTTGGTTACAACAAAAAACAAACTTCAACACAGACATTGAGCTTTATTCAACTGAAAGTTTAAAAACCAGCAAAGTAAATTACGCTCAAGAATTTGTCTGGAAAATTTAATTTAGGAGAACCAAAGAGTTCTAAATGTTAGCAAAAGTGCTAAAGCGCGAAGCTAATGAACAACAGAGGATTAGCAGAAGTTTTCTCTCCTCTGAAGGTTGAATCTCCTCCAGAGGATTCAAAATCCTGTCAGCCCAGATTGATGCTCAGGTCTTGGTAGATTTTGTTTTGGGGTATCAGAGTAAAGGGGCTGAACACAAATGCAGCTTTTAGATTAGTTAGTGTAAAAGATAATTTGAGAATCATGAAACATTTCCTTCCCACAGCGGTGCAGTTAGCCCTGCTGCCTTGCAGAGAAAAGGTTGTGGGTTCGAATCCAAAGCAGAGATAAGTTGGTTTTCTTTCCACTTCTCTGTTCTGCAGGATGTTGTGTCAGTTTGTCATATAACATATTAATAAAAGTGTCAAAATATCAAATATTTAAAGAGTACAGCTACTTTGGCAAAGCGTTGTGTGTGTTTACAGCAGTGGTTCCCAAACTTTTTCTCCTGGGCCCCCCCTATGGATTACAAATAGCTGTCTGGTTGAACTACATGTGTGTGTGTGTGTGTGTGTGTGTGTGTGTGTGGGTTGGGGGGGAGGAGAAGAGGATTCTTAGAGACTCCCTGTCTCTAACTTTTTGTGGGGCAAAATGAATCGTAGCTGGACACAGACAACAACACCAGTAGCCTACAGGCTACTAGTTAACTAGCTTAAGGTGCTGTATTGATATTAGCTCGTCATCTGTTAGCTAACATTACCTGCATCCAGCAGCTTCACTCAACAGCCGGTTAGTTTGGGGGAAAAACTGTGAAAAGTTCTTTGCGTTTTGCTGCCATGATTCTAACACACCTGTAGCAGCAGCAGGTCTCCTTCACAGGTGGAAACCCAGGCGGCTCGGAAAAACAGGTTACAACATGTTAACAACGGATTAAACAGTTTTAACTGCTGATAAAAGTGACAGAGGACACAAATATGGGAAGTGTGGAAGCCTCTACTGTATCAAATTGACAGAGGAATAACAGAGAGTTGGCCATTCTAAGGTAAAAACCCAGCGCATACAGTGTTCATGTTTTTTTTTTTTTCATCCAGACGGCTTCCCGCGCCCCCCCTGGAATGACACGGCGCCCCCCCTAGGGGGCGCGCCCCACAGTTTGGGAACCTCTGGTTTACAGTGACACTGAAGTAAAACTAGAGCAGCAGCCAAGTTCTGACCAAAATGATTAATAACTGTTTACATCTGATTGCAGACGAAGAGGTCAGAGGTTTCAGCAGCTTTTGGCTGATTCTTCATCATCTTCCAAAAAACAAGGAAAACATGGAGATTTCCCAGGAAACGTGACTTTGTGTTCCAGTTTTCTGAAATGAAGAAGTGAAGTATGTTTTTATAAATCTCACAAACATTAAAATCACAAGATACAAAGAGAATAAACCAGCCAGTCTGTACGAATGAACCGTCTCTTTAAAGATTCAGCAGAATCAAGATGGAGGCAAAGAGCGAACCTCTGCTAATCCGCTAACAGCAGAGCAAATTTTATGTTTAGCTTTTATGTTTAAACATTTAGCACTTAGCTTCTCTAGATAAATTACAAAGCCCTAATTTACTTGGAATTTACTTATGATTTGCCTTTTAGCATTAGCACAGCTAGCTTTGCAGTTAGCAGTAGCCA